CCCTCCTCCACCGAAACGTCAACTGAGACGTCTCTCAGCTTTGCAGCTGGCTATAACGTTAGCCAAAACATGAGGAAAAGTCAAGGTGTGTGGCTGTTGTTTTCGTGGTGTGTATCTAAAACAATTGGACATAACCTTACACATTAAGACAAATATTAAGACTAGCATTACAGTTGACACTAACAGCTCTTTGCCTGTAACCTTGACCTGCCTGCAGTCTGCACTGCAAGTACATTACTGAACCGTTAACAGTCTGAGCTAGTCAATCTGTCTCCACTAACATTTCTAATACAACAAATCTCTGAATATCTATCTAACTAGGAAATAACCTAACAACTGATAAATGAACTCCAAGTCTGAAGAGGAAGTATCACAGCCCACCTTGAACGTCGAAAGCCAGTAAAACTTGAGTTGGAGGCCTCCTCGATGAGCGGTGTTACTATACGTTCCATCATGTCTGTCAGCACGGTGAAGGTGGGCACCACAATGAAGTCTATGAACCCTGGTGACAAAGATATCAGCAGATTCAGAACATAATGCTAATACACACAGTTTCACCTTCTTCGGTGTCTCTTGGTGTCAAGTCAAGGACTAATGTTTTGTCCTTCATTGTATTGATGCTCTCAAGGCCATACTTACACCATTTGTTGACTTACTCATTAAAATCTCTTTGTACAATGTCATTATTCTGTTCAAAGTCGATCACAATATTCATAGGCTCATATAGGAGTGATATTTTTACCCCCAGGCTTCGTACAGGCTGAACTGACTAAATAAATTGAAGTAAAATGTTTTTCATAGAAAAGGTGAAAATATGACATTAGTTATAAAGTATTCAGTCTCTTAAGGAAACAACATTTACAAGTTTAGTGCCTTATATTTCTCATTTTATATTAGGCCACCATTATGTGCAAAAGCAAGATTACCAATTTAATCAGAATTTGTTGTTTGTGAGATTGATATAATTGTATATAAATACAGGAAAAAGTATTCTTTTTTTTTTTTTTGGTTCATTGTATTTCCTCCTACTCACCGATCTGGGACTGTGCCACCATTGTGGACTTTCTGTCGCAGAGTGGAGAGAACGGCAGCCCGAGCTCTGCTTCTTTGTCCCCCTGCAAACACAGTGGCTTCCTCAGTCAAAATGATCCTCAGTCTTTAGTTTCTAGAAGAACGTTCCCCACCCGTCAGGCATACACGCACAATTCATTGATATTCATAAACACACTTACAGTACACATACACACCAGCATCATATGCTCACACGGGCTTTGGATTTGTCTGGCCTCGAGTCCTTTTGGGCCACAAATGTTTCAATTTCTCGTCTGATTTGTCACAAACAAACGACACGTTGCATCAGGAGGCAATTTTCGTTGGAGAGGCTATTTGTTGGCAATTCATATCCAGAGACAAAGACCTTGTGCAGGCAGCCACTATAACAATAGCACTGATAATGAAAACAATGTGGATTAATAATGAAAGAAATAAGAGCCATGTGGCACCAGTTAAATATCTGTCCTTGTGTTGACATTTACAAATACCCAGTTTATTATTTATTGCCAAATGCACTGGCTTTAATCACAGAGTTATTGTTATACATTTTAATGTTCCATGGCGCTTGTCATGGCATCATTTTTTAAAATGACAAACAGTGCTTACAGTTATCTGATTATGTCAACGATGTAAACTGCTTTGGAGAGTAGATTTGTAACAGAGCACCATATTAAAACAGTCATTTAGTAATAACATCATTTTATCCTTGGTGTTACACTGCAACTGTGGGTAAGAAACCTGCTTTCCATGGGACCGAACTGGACCAATAAATGACTTTTGTTGACAATTGGTATAATACATGAGTATACTGCAAACAAGAACTGATAAAAGTTCATTTGGTGTACAAAATATAAACAAACAAAGGCTTAAAAAAAACGCACAGACCACAGCTAACTCACCGACTCCATCATGGTGACATTACTATACAGTATACTTCCTGTTTACATCTCCCAATTTATGAGAACAGTAGCTCTGAAACATGGAGCACAATTATGCCCCAAATAAAAGTAGGACAAAAAATAATAACAAGAGTAGCAAAATCCATTAATGCAGACAACCATGTCTGACTTTAACAACCCTTGCATTATACTATGAAACTACTTCAAATATCTAGTATACCTCTGTTGATAAAAAAAGGGGATAGGAATTTTTTTAGATTTATTACAGGGCTTCTGCATTAGTTAAAACTTTGCATGTATAATAAAATGTCAGTCAAGTGTGTATGTGACCAGCTTCAAAGCATGCCATATTCTTTCTACATGCATCTGAACCTTACATCCTCAGACCACTGGATCAGCCCACCATGCACTTCTCTGTGGCCTGCCAAGCACACCCACTCACCTGTCTGAAGAACTCCTCTAACAGGGAGGTGGTCCAGCGGTGGTGCAGGTCCCAGTTTTTGGCCGGGTGGCTGATGTCTGCAGTGTGCAGCAGAAGGGAGAGGGCTTTGGGCTTGTCAAGGCTAAAAAGAGAGTAAACACACTATTTTTAAAACTGATATGTGACATCGTCAGAACTGGCAAGTCTCAATTTTGCAGGTTTAATGAAGATTATCTCTGTGACTCAAGTGTATGTAATACATGAAAGTCACAAGCTGGAGCTAACTTTAGCCTATATCTCCCAAACAGCTCTTTCTATATCAAAGTCAAAGTGTTTATTTGTCATATGCACAGTTAGGAAACATGTTTCCCTGTACAATGAAATTCTTACTTTGCCATCCACATGAATGCCACAAAATACAAATGAAATATAAAGTAGATAAATAAGTAACACAAAATCTAAGGCACTTTAAAGCAGCAAATGCAGAGATATAATAAAAATATATGAGTGTAATAAGAGAATGTATGCTGCATGGGAGCAGCATGTGCAGCAGGCAACAGGCAATGTGCAGTTATGCATGTGCAAACCGAAAATGTAAACAGTACAGGTCGACATTACATGACGTAGTTCCTGGTAATAAACTCCTGTCAGCTGTTTAGGAGTCTGATGGCAGAGGGAAAGAAAGAGTTTTTCAGTCTGGATATGACAAATAAACACTTTGAATCTTGAACCTTTGACCCTAGATGTCCTGCATTTCACTTCTTGGCCAGCTGTGTGGTGTTAAGTGTCCAAGTGAGGTCGTCACTGATGTGGACGCCCAGGTATTTGAAGCTGCTTGCCAGTGGTGCGGTGGGTAGAGCAGTCGTCTCCCAACCGGAAGGTTGAAGGTTCAGATCTCAGTGCTTGCAGTCCACATGTCGAAGTGTCTTTGGGCAAGACACTGAACACCTTGCCTGTGATGGCCGTGCGTATGCACGCAGTGGCCCGGGGCCCTCGGCTCCAAACATTGTTTCATTGTACGTGTTACAATGACACTTCGAGCCCCCAGATGAACAGTGGCTGATAAGTTCTCCTCCCCTTCCTCACGTCCACTATCATCTCCTTCGTCTTGTCCGTGTTGAGGCTGAGATTATTGTCCTTGCACCATGACACCAGACCGGCCACCTCCCTCCAATAGGCTGCTTCGTCCCCGCCAGTGATGCGACCTATCACTGCGGTGTTGATTGATTAGAAACATACATTTAAATGTACTATGTTTACTTGATAACAGGTGGGTGAACATGCTATCTAAATCAAAAAGCAGGAATACATATCTCAAATTCTCATAGGAATCCAACAGCCAATGGCATTGCAGTTAAACAGAACAGGAAGGTCAGCACACTGTTAGATGCATCAGCCACTCCACGTGCTTTAAGGACATAGTGGGTTTTTATTTGTCACACAAGGTACCTGTAGTCAATGAAGAGTATCCTGATGTAGGAGTCTCCATTTTCCACGTGAGAAAGGGAATAGTGGAGGGCAGCCGCAATGGTGTCTGAGGTGGCCTTGTTGGGCCGGTAGGCATACTGCAGGGGGTCCAGTGTGTTTGGTATACTGCTCTAAATGCGGGCCAGCACTACTCTCTCAAAGCACTTCATAATAATTGGGCCACTGGCCTGTAGTTGTATATTGACGTAAACCTACTCAAAATAAAGCTGAGTGAATCCTTTCACAATGCACAATTATTTGATCCATTGTTATCATATAAATATTAATTATAACTATTTTAACTACAACAGATACAACATGTTACTAAGACAATATCATCATCATCAACTTTATTTATATAGCACATTTAACACAGCTGAAGCTGACCACAGTGCTTAACACAATATCCACAACACCCTTTAAAAAACAACATAAACAAAGAGCAAAACAAAAACATCATACTTAAAACAACCCCCCATCAAAAATCACAAGCTCAACAAGACACAGGATCATACTGCTTCGAACACCAGACGGTACAGATGAGTCAATTTCAAGGTGTGTGGTCAAATAGGTTTTAAAAGTGGACAACGAGGGGGCCTGTCTAATATAAAGGGGCAATGCATTCCACAACTTAGGCGCCCCCACAGAAAAAGCTCTGTCCCCCCTAGATCTCCGCCTAGCCCTCGGTACCTCCAAGTGCAGCTGGTCAGCCGATCTGAGGCACCGGGAGGGGCTATAGGGATGTAGCAATTCTGTAAGATAAAGGGGAGCCAAACCATTTAGAGATTTAAAAACAAATAAAAGAGTCTTAAAATGGATTCTAAAACACACCGGCAGCCAATGCAGGGAAGCCAAAATGGGTGTGATATGGTCACTTTTACGCCCTCCAACCAATAGACGAGCAGCAGCAATTTGGACTCTCTGGAGGCGGGCAAGGGCGACCTGACGGAGCCCAAAATATAGCGCATTACAATAATCCACACAAGATGTAATAAATGCATGTATTACCGTCTCAAAATGCTGCAGTGAAAGAAAGGGCTTCACTTTTGCCAGCTGCCGGAGGTGATAAAAACTGGCCCGTACAACTGCATTCACCTGACATTCCATTCTAAGATCAGAGTCTATTTTAACACCAAGGTTTGTAACGGTGGACCACACGTACCGTTCCAAGGAACCGAAATCAACCGGGGGAAAATCACCAGAGTTATTTGGACCAAACACTATAACCTCGGTCTTCGTATCATTCAACTTCAATAAGTTTAAGGTCATCCGCTTCCTAACGTCATCAAAACATGACAATAGTGATGCAACTGATGATGCGTCCCTTCCCCTCAGTGGCAAATAAATCTGTACATCATCCGCATAACAATAAAAAGAGACCCCATGCTTCCTGAAAATAGAGCCAAGAGGAAGTAAGTATAAGGAAAAAAGCAGTGGCCCTAGAACTGAGCCCTGCGGAACCGCAGATACCAACGGGGTAGACGAGGACTCAGCATCAGCAACACGAATAGACATCGTCCGACAGATAAGACCTAAACCACTTCAAGGCAGTACCACGGATGCCCACTAACTCCTCAAGTCGAGATATTAGGATATCATGGTCTACTGTGTCAAAAGCAGCCGTCAGATCCAACAAGAAAGATCTGGTACAGTTGATTTACAAGTGACAAATAGTTTGATTAAATGCAGACTAGTGGACATACAGTCCTCAAGCGTATGTCATTGCTATAGCTAGCAGTAGTAGATTTCAGGGTTTAGCAGGCCTAAGGTAATTTATAGATCAAAGCTGTGATGACAGATTCACTGAAAACACCCTCATGCTGTAAAACTGGTGACAGCCACTTATTACAGTGGAAATATCCAGTAAATATATCCATTATCATGTACAGTACATACACATGCAAATATATGTACCTAAATAATAACCCCAAAAAAGAGAAACACCAAAAAACTGGGGAAAAGACTTTCCCTTTTCATCATTCTGCCTCCTTAGTCTAATCCATTTTCTACACTAGGACACTGTGAAGATGCATCATCTCATCTCGTCAGACATAACCGGTGTCTGGGACTTGACAATCATACCAAAATATCACGTTTAATGGACTGATGCATGAACGGACAGACATAGGCCAATATGGCAAAGAGACACATAAATGACAACACACACACACACCACAAGGTTAAACAGAGGTGAGAACGAGCTCAATTTTCCTCCTATTACATTTGTGGCAGATTGAAGTGCACTCTAAGCAGGTGGAGCAGACTGGTGTGAATTACTTCACATTAGAGTCTGTTCAGCATTACAGCGTCCTGCAGACTGCAATCTCTCATTTCACTAGCAGGGACCTGCCCTCATTCAGCACCAATAGAAGTATAAGGACAAAGAATGTTTGTGAACTTGATGGTTTTGGGGAAGGCTAAGGAGGTCTGCGCCGCTCTTGGTTACTGGCATACCTCCAAAAACCTTCAAACAAATTGGTCTGGGACCTCTCCCTCCCTCTGAATGTTGATACCTATTCAGATGTCTGGATCTGGGTCTTCATCTTTCAGGAGCCTCTTATTTTGTTCATTTCTTGTTCATTTATTTATTCCACTTTGTCCTTTCTATGTATCTTCCCCTATATGTGTCCTGCTGCAAGATCTTTGTCTGTAGGGAGAAAGGCTTTAGGTTTGTCCAAAGCTGAGATTTGTGGTGTGCAGCAACCCCTTCTTCATTTTTGACACATCTTTTATTCCTTGCTCTTGACTAGACTTCTAATTTTCTCAATAAAAATAAGAGATACCTGGCCTTCTTAGCTACAATATTTCTGGCACCGACTGATTTTCACCACAGTGTGCAACAAAATCTGTTGTGCCTGCACCATAACTCTGCTACAGGTCTGCTGCACAGAAACACCACAGTCTAGCCTGCGTTTGTGTCTGAGGGGGCCTGCAGTACTGTCCCACTGTACACGTGTAACACACGACATTTGTTTGTTACATTTCTCTAGGAGTACAACCTTCAGGGCAGGGTTAATTGTCTTGTAAACAGTGTGTGGTTAGTAAACAGCAGCTGATGGCAGAGGTAATGGAGAAGTAAATTGCTATGGTGAGGGCAGGGTGTATAAACAGTGATGAGGGAAAAGGCAACTGACCCCTCAGGTTGTTGCAGAAAGTTCTTCATGGCCTTAATCTGCTGGAAGTGGCAGGACATATCCGTGGCCAGCACCATCTCCACCACCAGAGTCCGCAGCTCTCTGGATGAAAACAAAAGTAGAGGGAAGCATGAGCCATGTGCTGTATAATGAACTGTCAAACTCACAGGTGAAAAAAAGACTTATTTCAGAAGTCTCTAAAGTAAATGAAGGTAGCCAACACAGCTTTTGAAAGCTATTTATAATATTTGCTTTGACAAGTCCCATCTTATGTCGTGAGAAATCAGATTGTAGCTGTCTCCTTTAATGTATTATCATACATAACAGTTCCATTTAGTCCAAAGTTGTTGAACCTTGAAGGTAATGCAGCCTTTCTGAGGACAGTTGTTAATCTTGAAAAGTAAGAGAAGTTCACCCAGGGCTTTTATTGTGTGATGTGTACAGTTTTCTGTTCAACCTGGTTGAGAGTTTTCTATCCCTTTGCTGTCATTCAACACTTTCATCTTATCTTATTATCTGTTTAAATATCAGTCTCTCTTACCTCCAGTCATCCTTGGAGAGGTTGTAGAGGATGTTCATCTCATCATCTTCCTGCAGTAAGCGGTAGGCTGCACTGACATGGTGACTCTCCAACACCGAACGGTCATTATACAGGATGGCTGTGTCTGACCTGTCAGTGACAAGAAAGCAAAACAACAGCTTCTCATCAGCCAATATCAAGAAATGGACACGTAGATGTTGCTACTTCTTCCATTTATCAGTAAAGTGTGTCACTTAATAATGAATATAATCTGGTTTTGGGATGCCAGACCATGTCCATGTTCCCTAAGCTTTTCCTCTTTGGGTTTAATTTATTTGCTTGTTTACTTCTTTTTGCAATCTGCATTCTGCAGCTACGTGTCTGGATGTACAGCAGCTATCAGTCACTGTGGAAGGTGCTGTGCTCAAATTATGTTAAAAAGAATTTCTTGCTGCCGTCTGGCAACTTGCAGACTAAACATCAGGTGTAGAGAAAAAAAGAGAGCCCTTAATTTGACAGAAGCATGTTCAATTCCAGGTGCTTATACATCTGGAACTGGCTGGCCGGACTTTGTTCTGCTAAATGTGAAAATAATTCATATTCTTTATGGTGTTTGTGTGTTTAATGGCAAGGAGGTCTGCTGCACAAGGGAAAGCTCTCAGGGGGAAAAACAAAACAAAGAACAAAAACAAGGAAAATGAGAAAAAACAAAAAGCAGTTTAATGTATTACCCTTTAATACAGGGGCTTTCAACCAGAGGTCTGTTTCGTGACCAGTGGACTCGTGGTCCATTAAGGCATTGCAGGTGACCATGCAATCAATAATGTATTTTTACTATAGGAATCATAATTTTTAATAAAAAAAAAAAACACATTCTATGTTTTACATATTGCTTGTGAATAATCAAATCCATGCAAATACATATAGAAAAGTCAAGATGACTTTCAGGATTAAAAAAGTGGCCATCTGGTCTATCCACCCCATAACAGTGGTCATCAGGTTACCTCTTAGCCAGAATGGTGGTCGCTGGGTCACAATTAGTTGAAAACTCCTGCTCTACTATATCGAAACCTATACCTGATTAAAGGTTATAAAAATGTTTTGTGTGCTTAAACCAAAGGAGTCAACTTTTTTCTTTTTCCAAAGCATGGAGTTTGGGGTTAATTTGGATTCCCGTCTTGCCCCTGTATTATTACTGCACTGCAGGCAATCTCAGTGCGAATGTTAAGCCCCCCCCTTTGCTGTAAATGAAAACATTGATCTGCTGAGCCAGTGCCATGCATTCTTGATTTTATGATCCATTACCTTGTCTGAATGTGAAAGTTGTTTGTGGTCCCCGTATGCTCGTAGTCGTGCACCGCCGCCGCAAAGATCAAGGCAAAGATCTCCAGTTCAGTCAACCAATGCTGGAGGCAAAGGAAGGGGAGAAGAGGGGGCGAGGGGAGAGGTGAGATATGGAAGCAGGAGGAAGTGAAGATAAGAAGGAGGGGGGTAGTAAGAGGAGTATATAGAAGAGGAAAGGGTGTTGAGGAGGACAGGCAACAAGATTGAAAAAACAGAGACAGGAAGGCAGGAAGTAATGAAAGGGAAAGTAATGATCACAAGAGGAAAGAATGGACAAAAATAAGAAAAGAGAAATGAGAAGCCAGAAAATGGAAAAAGGGGAACGCAGGGAATGGTACATCACGTTATAATGATGCACCATAAAGGATGCCGAGAGAAGTATTTGGCATAAAGCATACATTACCACCAGGGATGAAAGGAAACAAAAGGAGGAGGAGGCAATAAAGGAAAGGTCAGAAAAGCAAAAAGGAAACTTTAAATAAGACAAACTCTACTGAGAATTACATTTTTGACTGTCACTCCTTTCTGTAACATAACTTCCTTTTCCCTGTCAGACGGTGTCTCAGTTGGGTTTGTCACTGTTACCAAATATAAATGACAAAGCCATGCTCTCTTTCATTTTATCACACGTTAATGCTGTCACAAGGAGAAACTACACATCACATCATGTTTTCTATTTAAATATTTTAGGTCAAGACCTTTTAAAGGTACAATTCATGACTACAGCAAAGAAGAGGTTGACGTGAAAGTAGTTACACACTATTAAAAGAATAGTTTCACACTGTGGGAAATATGCTTATTGGCTTTTTTTGCTAAGAGTTTGAAGAGAAGATTGAAGTTAGGGCTGCATCTAATGCTTAGTTCATTAGCACCCGATAGTTTTTTAATTTGTCTATAAATTTAAGAAAATAGTGAACATTTTGTTATAATTTTTCACAACTCAATGTGGTTTTCAAACATCTTATTTTGTCTGACCAAAGCAGTCAGTCCAGTCCAACGCAAATATATTGATGTTACTATCATGGACAACAGAGAAAGGCATTAAATCAAATTCACAGGCATTGCTAGGTGGATTTTACTAGCTTTGGATGTCAATTTACTAGCTGCTTCTACTTGTTGGTAGTGTTTTTGCTAAGCAAACATGCAGCTAACCATATCCTGGTTGTAGCTTTGTAATTACTGTACCATACATACATGAGAGTGGCATCGATCTTTTCATGTAACTTTTAGCAGAAAAGCAAATAAGTATGTGTTCCAAAACTATTTCTTTAACAGGCAGAAAAACAGCAATTGTGAAAATACCTGTTTCATCACACAAATAATGTGCAAATAACCTCCAGAGCCATAAATATAGAGCTCAAAGACCAAAATAAAGTGGTTAAAATGGACTGCTTTTATTCATGGACACATGTTTTATCTTTGAGTGTATGCAGCATCGGCATATCTAACAGTGGGCAATTTTTATCTGAAGGGCATGCATCTGAGTACATTCATGCACACAGGGACTTAGCTCAAGAAGCTCAGTCATTAATGGTGACTAATCAGCAGTAGGGGATGGGGGAGTCATTATCAACAGAGGCAGTGTAAGAAGCCCAATCCATCCCTCAGTGTTTCTTTATGGGCCTGCTTTATGAATGACCTGTTGATTGTTGATTTAATGGAGCCTGGAGGGCCTGGAAAATGATAGATGCTGTTCTCCTGCTCTCCCAGAAGCCTGTGCTTCTAGCAGTAATGTGGCTTACTCCACAAAGTACTGCCCTAAGAAACATACCGTGTCGACAGCTGTCACAGCCACCTTTTTAAGGTGATTAAATAAAAACACTGGAAGCGGGGGCAGTCAGCTGGTTGGCTGGTGAGGGACTTTGAGCTTTGGAGAAATGGGCCTTTTTTGGAATGAATGCAAAATCAGAAATACCCTAAAGTCACTCCAGTGGGAAGGAGTGAAATATAGGTCACCAAGTGGAAAAAATAACAAAAGCAACATGAAATACAGTATGGAGAGTAGACATGAATCAACATTATGGCACAGAAATAAAGAAGACCTGTTTGACTTAAAACAGTAACAATGACAATGACCGTCACATTTTGACAAATATGGACAAATGTGGGCTGAAGTTCTCAAACCTGCCTTGAACAAGACTGTGATTAAAGGGTGATCTTCCCCAGGTGTCCTGTTTTTTCTCCAGGAGAGAATAGTTCTCCAAGAAAAAATGATGCTATATTTAGAAGGTGCAGGTCAGACAAAGCTGCAGTTAGGTTGACATAGGTTGGCTGACAGAAATATTCTGATCATCATGTGGATAAAATCAGAGTATGGGGACCTCTGGCACAACTTCACCTATTTGCAAGGTGCATGGAGAAGAGAAAAATGCTGAAGAGGTAACTCCAGTAACACTTTACTGTCACACCAGTGTATTCCAGCTCATGACCTTCATCAGGATCACCCAGGGTTAATCTGGGATCATCCAGGATACAGAAACATTTTTATCATGTAAACTCCCCTAAAGGTCAATTCAGGGGGCTTTCTTTCCTGGAACTAAACCAACTGGTTTCTGTAGGTTTTTAACAGGTACTGTGGATGCTGTAACATCATGTCATCTAATGTGTCCACACCCTACTCACCACCATGCCGGTCTTGAGTAGCAAGAAGTGTACAGTCTGTGTGACATCAGCAGCATGCATCAGGTTGTGGTAGGGGTTTTTATGTTTGCTGTATCCCACTTCGAGGGCCTCCACGAACGACATCACCGCAGAGATCGGGATCTGACGGCAAACAAAACAACAGCAAACAACTGTGAGCTAAAAATACTGCAGACAATCTGGTGATTTAAATGATGAGCCATATAATTTCTATGGAGGCACAGTTCCCTCAGCATTTGACGGCGATGTCATAAAATCACGGATCGTGAATCATTTAAGCTACCGCAGACTCAGATTACATATCCATGTCGGCTTCATTGGATGTGTCATTTACTCTCAGTTGCTGTCACTTCAAGTAGAGTGTCCTGAGCTATAAGACACTGGGGGAAATGAGCTTCACTAGTATCAGATAAGATGAAGTATGTCCAACCCACCCCCCTGACAATATGGTCATTTAAAAAATACAATGACTTTAACAAACTCTTGAGAGAGAGATAGAGAAAGAGAGAGAGGTGAGAGTGCCCGTGTCCATCAAATCAGGCATGGTGTCGGTTTTTACTATACTGAATAGTTTTAGCTTCTCCTTATTTTAATGACATAAACAAAAGTATATTAGTGACCATGCTATGTTGTTTCCTTGTGACATTACCTTGAAACGGCTAATAAGGTCATATCTTGTGAGCAACTCATAGAATATGAATTTTAGTGCGTGATCCCCGCTGGCCTCATTTAGAGCAAACACGTCAAACGACCACTTGTCGACATTCTGTGTGGGGAAGAAAAACATCAAATAATGGCATGACATCAAACAATATTTCTCCAATAAATAGAAAAACTTGCAAAACAAAGAAATTGCTGAGATGGTGGTGATGTTGCTACAAGTCCAGTGTCATAGCTTTGGTTTTCCTCCCTACAATCATTTTCAGTTTCTTTAGAAATATTTTATCTGAAACTTCCTGATAGATATTTGTATTTGTATCTTTGCTAAGAATGTTACTGTTTTGTCTTTGAGTGAAGTTCAGTTCAAGCATTGTGTCTCAAGTATGCTGTCTAGAGTTTGGTTTGTGTGTGCAAAGGCATGCACAAAGTGGTTAGTTGTTAATATCGTTCTGCTTCTGTTTGGATGCATGTGCACATGTTCATACCTTAAGCACAGATATGACAGAAGTGGGGTAGCTGAGTCCCACCATATTGGAGGTACGTCTGTACATCCTGTTGGGAAGAGGAACATCAAATAAAGCACGCCAAAGGTTGCCACACCGGACCCAACAGCCTGTAAGGTTCCCCACCAAGACTAAACCTTCAACACAGCTCAGTATGAAACTGTGCTGAAAAGGTTAAGTTAAAAAAAGGCAACAGCATCTGTCTTTTTACTAATATGCCGAAAAGGTTTAAAGATTTGTCAGAACTGAGGGATTTAATATAGACTGACTTAATCACAAATCTGTTTTGTAATTCCCAATGAGATTAAATGGAGTTAGAATCATTTGGAAGGCTGAAACGTTGGCAAGCATTCTAAACATCAGACATTTTAGGGAATACAGCACAAAAATGCTCCAATTTCAAAAGCAGATGTCTTAAAATAACTTTCATAAATGCAGCTAAATATCAAGCTAGTTATTTTGTCAGAATAAAACATTTGTCCAAATTTAAAATGACAATCCGTGCTTCTTCACTAAATTGCATCACACTGTTTTACCAAATCCTTTTAACTCTGTTTCTCCCTGTCTTCATTGTAAATGCCCCCCAAAACAGTCTGCCCTCTGGAAAAGCAGATTAAGAAAGATTATAGTTTGCATGTTTGAGGCTTACTGATTTGAACAAATGCATGTTGCATGTTTGTTTGTGATAGAGTACAGCCTTGGAGAGGGAGCTGGTTGTAGCTCTGAACGATTGTGATTAGCCGAGCTTGCCGAGGTTGCAGTGATGTATGGTTGGCTCAGGTGAGTGAGTCACTGTGTTAGGGATGCACAATTACTTAGAACCAGTTTTCAAACCGAGGTGTAGTGCTTTACTTTTTAAATTGTCTTCCCAATTTTTGAGACTGCTACTATTGGATTATTTCAGTACACACACATTTAAATAGGCTGAAAAAATAATCAAATACACAGAAATCAGCTCAATGTACTTTTACCTCTCAACAAATATGCCAGCCTGAACAGCGTGGACAATGCTACGAAAGCGAGGTTTCTCTTCATTACGTCGCAGCATCAGGCCCATCTGCCTGGTGAAGGTGGAGGCCAGCCAGTCCCGCACCTCCGAGGGCACCGACTCTGACTGAATGTCGCTGAGCTCATCCTCTGTGTCCACCAAACGTCTGAAACGGGGGAGAGGACAGACAAAGAGGAAAAGAAATGAAGAAATTGACAGGAGACAGATGCAGAGTGTAAAAGCTAAATCATTTTGAGTTTATTGCAACTCGACTTTCACAGGGGATCACTGAAATCACAGCACTGTCCATCAAATAATATCACCTCTTATGTAACATCAAAACATTCCAGGCCTCTTGAAACACTATGATGCAGAATTCAAATCCAATTGTGTGTATAATTCTCCACAGATACACTGTTGTGTTGACATGTACAGAGGATCAACAGAAGAGCCTGTTGATCTCCACCCTCTGAACTGAATACATGTTCTTATGGCAAAGAGGGAGCATTCATATCGCACTGATTATCACGGTGCTAAGTAGATTCTGCACTGGATAGTTGATCATCCTCCATCCTGGTCATTCCATCACTGGCCCTAATCTGGCTGGATCTAGATGACAGGAGGCTTACATAATTCTGTAAGCCTGGTCATATCTCAAATTCTGGACCTGCACTCAACTATTGACATATTTAGTATGTTCCCTAACCTTAAACACACCTTAACAACAGTTTGCCACAACAACAATCTTTCCATGACCTGAAGACAAGTAGATTTCATTGCCTAAACTTAACTTCATAATTGGAATTTTGTCATTTGCGGTGTGGAGCTGTTGACTGTACATGCTAACTGCCCATGTTTTCCACATAAATATCATATTCAGCGTTGGAAGAAGTATTCGGATTATTTATTTCAATAAAAGGAGCAAGAACACAATATTGAAAATTACAAGTGAAAGTCCTGCACTCAAAATGTAAAGAAGCAAAACCTTTATCAGAAAAATGTCCTTTAAGTATAAAGGACAAGCAGTCGTTATACAAAATAGTCCATGTCAGTGTTATAGTTTTATATTACTGGATCACTGATATTGATTGTTTGTCATGTAAGCAATAACATAAATGTTGTTCACGATGGAGTTCATTTAACTATTTGATGTACAACTGACAATAATGCATCATATTTTATAAAATGTTCATGCATATTGTTTGTAAAATTTTAAAATGAAAAGTAGCTAATAAATTAAGATGTGAAATATATGCACTGAAGTAAGAATATTTGTAGTTCTAAGCAATTAAGCAAATACTTGAAAATGTAAATATATAATCTAACATTCAGCAAAATGGTATGAGATTCAGTAACAAAGAAGAAGAAGAACAACACAGGTCACTGGGCATAGTAATGATAGTCATCCATTTTCTAAAGTATGGCATTTATCATTGCTGCACCACTGTGCTCACTAAATGAACCATGTCAATATTTGTTTCACTGTGGAAAGTTAGTTTTCTTACCTTGTCTCCTCGATGTAAACGGATTCCAGTACTGATGCTGCATACTCGAGGTTTTTCTTGAGGTCATTGAGGGAAGCCTCTCCTCTCTCCAGTTGTTTCACCAGACATCTTAATCTAAAACAGAGATTCAACTGTCATTTCACAAATGGGATTACACCCCTGCTATCTTGACATGATAAATTAACTGATATTAGACTAATCTGGTCTGGATTCCTGCTCCACTGGGCAAGGTTGTTTTTGTGAAAATAGAGTTGTCCTCTCAGGCTAAATCATAATGTGATAGAAATACATGCGCAGTATATCAAATGATAACAAGTCAAAGTCATGACAAGTCAGAATGTCTACTGTTTGAAAGGTTGATACATTCTAAAAAACTGCAGAGACTTGGTGTGTGTAGACTCTGCTTGGACTCATTTACATGTGTTGCTAGTTTTTTTCCCTAGGTGTTCCTGCTATGTGGCTTTTGGTACCACGACTTATTTTGCCTTTGACTGGTTCAGATTATATTTCTGTAATCTGTACTCCAACATTAGTTGCTAATGACAGTAAAGTCTTTCACATAGTGATTATAGTGTTCATGGTGGTCATTTATAAGCAACTGTTGGTTTTTGTGTGTGACAGTTTAAACATATGGTAAAGCAATTCATCTAATGGTGATTACCACACTGGATTTATAAAGAGTTCTTCTCTATGTACAGTTTACTGATATTACAGCCCAATGTAATGAGTAATTTTTGCAGAATGCAAAATTCATCTTGTAATGTGACACAGTTCATTCACAGTCATTCTGTTTGCCTTGCCATTCCCCTGATTCTCCTGCCATTGGAGATGCTGCCACTCCCTCCTTCTATGGAATAACCGCAGCCTGATTCCCCACACCCACTTACCCATCTATTCCCCATTTTCTCATTAGCTTCTCAGTATGTAGACCGGCCCATATCCACCAATTTTTTTAGACTTTGCCTTTTGCCTGCCCTTGTCTTGATCGCCTGGTGTTTTGGTCTGCCTTTTGTCAAGGTCTGCCTGCCTGCTTAGCCCAACACCCAATGATGTACACTTTAAACTTAATAAATGGAATCTCTGAGTGATGCACCAAGGCAGATTGACTGGTAACACAGGTGTCATATCACTGAAACAATCAAACACCATCTTCTCTGTTACAGTTTTCAATACTAATTCCCTTGTGGGTATTGATCTCTGTGTGTGTGTGTGTGTGTGTGTTAATATGATGATGTTCTGGTAAAGGCTCACCAAAAATAGCACTTCAGAGAAACACAACTTAACATTAGTTTCTGCACACTGCAACCTCTTGCACTATACCACCTGCTGCTGTGCTGGAGGTCATGTGCTCTTTTCACAGTCAAAGCCCACAGAGGCTACGCTTGATGCTGAATTATTAAGCAGAAAGGTGGGAGAGTGGGTGTCAGATGCTTGCATTGATTACATTCACTGATGGTACCTGCAATTTTACCAAGTAAAAGATGCTAAATGTTTCAGTGAAGATGGCTGAGTGAAAACTGATTATAAATATTCATGAATGGTCCATTTATTCCTTTTAATGGCCAAAGCTGGGGTTGGAGCCTGAATGTATTGTGTTTAAAGTGATGAAACACCAGACTTGCATAAAGGACAGAAGAAAAAGCCCTCAAAAAGAGCTCAACAGCAGTCTAACTTTTGTCTGTGTGGCTGTAAGGTCCCAATGCCATCCTCCGACATACACTATTTTAAAAAGAAACAAAATAAGTTGAATTTAATTGGATCAGTATGATTTAATCTTCTGGGGATCATGAAAATTTCATGACATCTAATAGTTGCTGACTGACTGACCAGTACTGACATCCCTAATGTCATGCCATTCTGGCATAAAAAAGACAAACATTTGATATAATTTCATTTTACAAGCATAATGCTTCTTTAGCTGTGAAGACAAATGCTCCACGTGCTGATATCTGTTCAGCTACTGCCGGCTATATTAAGTATCATAAGGAAGTGAATTCATGGAGGGTGAGCTGCAACTCTAGAATCAATGCACATGTGATTTGGTTAGAACTAATGATGGTTATTAGGAACATCTGTGTGCCAGTGGGTTCCTCACTAATACACTAGAATAGACACAATACCCTACCTCCTTTAACAAAGCTCCTATGATTCAACATACAATGTTCAAATTTGTTCTGTTGGTCATTTGCATTGATCTTACAGTGTTGGCATGATGCACATATTTGAAAAGTACACAGGCTACTGAATGATATTAGCATATGCACTTAAATGTTTGTCTCCAAGTGTTTCTGTAAAAAGCTTTGTCACAAGCTCACTACCTA